AAGGTCTCTGTTAACACTACTCACACTCTGCATAACATAAACACCTTGGTGGATGATACTGCCACTCTCCTAACAGTTTGCAGGCCTCCCTATGTCACCCAGTTCCTCTGCCAGCTCCTTGTACAGGTGGCCCAAGGTGTGTTACCATCTGCTTACTCTGGTTCCCCAGTAGGCTCCTTGTGCTGCCTAGCATCTAGTCCATAAGCCATCCTCCAGTGTCCTAGTCAGTTTGTGCCAAGCTCGCTAGCAGACCTCTGGCCTCTTGGTCAGCCACCATCTAGACCCCTATCTGTCCTCCAGCCTCCTGGTTAGATAGCGTCAACTGTGCTAGTCACTCTCCAATGTTCTGGCCTGCTTCTCCTGCTGTAGGCCTGCTAGTCATCAACCTGTTTTCCAGCCAACTAGCACTGGATGTGGTAGTCTTCAGCCAGCTCATCTTGCAGCTAGCACCATGCCTGCTAACTATCTCACTCCTGACTCTCAGATAGCTAGTCTCCAGCCAATACATAAGGTTAGCCTTGGGGTGGTCAGGCTACCATATGCTCTTGAGCCCATTAAACTCCAATTCCCTGGTTGAGTGTCTAACATCAGGCCTGTTCCAGTGTGCTTCACCTCCACTATGTCTACTAGGCCCCAACCTACATCACAGACAGCTAGCCACCAGTCTGACTCCCAGCCAGTCAGCACTGGAGGTGCTGGCCTCCAGCCAGCCTCTTTCCCAGCTGGTCACTAACCCACTAGTTCCCAGTCTGCTCCTCTTCCTGAGTCAGCCAGCCTCCAATCTACTCTTGACCCAGAGCTGGCTGAAAAGAAGCATCATTCTCGAAGACACTGGTCTTTGCAGGCCCCCAGCATTTTGGATGTGAGGTCTCCAGCACACTCAAACTTCAGACCCCAGTGTCATGAAACCACAGCCTCCCAATGTCCCTGAGTATCAGCTTTCCAGTGCCTGCAATCATCAGTCTCCCACAGTAAGTTGTGCTACTTCATCTGCCAGTCTGTCTGCCTTGTGTGTCTGTAATTAGGTCCTATTTTCTCTTTGTGTGCCGATTCTTAGTACTGTGACAATGCACACATGAAATATAATCTGCTACGGATTCTCTATGTTTGCACATGTTCATGAACATGAGTCTCTGTGTGTTAAGTGCATATTCCCACTGACCTGTGCTGCTCTGGATGGTTCTGACAGTGGTAGTTGAGCGTGGGGGAGAATTTGTCCTTCCATTGCCCACCAAGACACCACCCTCCTCCTCTTCCTGTGAGCAGCCTTTCTCTATTGCACGCACATAGCTGTGGCTCCGCATGCGGAAGCAGCCAGGCACGGGCAGGTCCAGGGCATCCACCGCTTGTGACTCCATCTCACTAAACACCGACTCACACACAGCCTCAATCTGCCCGTTCACCTCCACCTCGCTCACCTGTGGAAGAGGGGGCACACATAGACATACAGTATGTGCATACAGACCCAGATGAAAAACCACACATGAGACCATACACTGAGGAAAGCAAAAATGACAAATAAAATGCAGAGGCACACACAGCCCAGTGCAAGACATACTGTAGGTGAATGGACACTTTATTGTACCAGCAAAAGGTAGGGAAGCATCTCATTGTGCTGCTTAATGTTACAGAGCTATTCCATTGTTTAAAGCTTCACCAGGCAGGAGTTTTATGTACAAACACTTAAGAATTGGACATTGCAATAGAAGATAGTGTCCCAGTGGTAACGACAGTAGTTGTTTGATAGGGTTGCTTCTGTTCCTATAGAGAAATACAATCTGTGGATGGTCTTTCCAGCACAAACGAGACACATCATTTGCTGACTTCTTTTGACTCAATTCCATTAACCAAACAAATAATTAACAGTGGTACAATTTAGTCTTCTTTAGTAAAGCATCACAGACCATGTCCAGCTTGTAAATGTCAGCTGACCGTTCAGTTTAATGACATCACATAAATATATGCTAGTTCAACTCTGCCTTGTGAAGCTTTAAGCTGTATATCCAGTAGGACCTTACAGATAACTAAAAATAAATGTATTAAATACAAATAAAAGATGTCCAAGGGGTTCAGACAGGAGAGGCATCACTATTGGATTAAACTTTAAAGGAGTGTACAATAGTGTGAAATACTACAACTGCTGTTATTAAAGGTGAGAATTAGGAAGTGTCGAAGCTAGGACTACTGGGATTTGAGGTGTGAGCTAGGGAAATCCAACTACACCTACAAAATCAGCTTGTGCTGTTTGAGTTTCAAAGCAGGGCCTCAAGCAGAGAAAATATGGATGTGTGTTACAGATCAGGTTGTGAGGGCAAATAACACCTACGATGCTCCTGTTAAAATAGTCCAAATAAAGAAAAGTTTGCAAGATGTCTGCACAGGGAGTAACACATAGGAATGAGATGGTCTCTAGAGCTGTTAGCTTGGGTGTTTGTCAGTGAAGAGGGTGCACAGTTAAGTGTACACTATAGAGCTTGGAGTCAGAAAGTTTTGTGGGCCTCAAATCAATCCACTGATGGTAAGCATCTTTTTCATGTGTCAGCTCACACTCCATGCACATGCAGTGAGAGTGAGTGACATAGAGAGCCTAGCAGCACCTCTTTTCCATTTTTGTAGATGCCAGGTTCAGGCTGTCATTCTTCTCAGGACCTTTTCCTTGCCCGGACTTGGATGAGCAACTCAAGGGCCCATGATTCAGCTAGCTAGGCAAATTGTTACAAGATTATCCAGGCTGCCAAATAGGTAAGCTAAGCTCCCCTGTCACTCCTTATAATGTACCTGTACATGTGCTCAAAATCTAAAATGACTTGCATCTTAGTTTGCAGTAGGCATGAGAATAGAACCTCCAGTTCTGAGTGTTTCCTGGCCAATTCAGGAACTCATTTTGCGTCATATCATACACTGAAGCAGTAGGAGCATATTAACTAATCTGAATGCACCTGCAATCATCTGAGCATCAGAAAGTAGTATGCAGATGAAAACACTAATTAGGAGTTTGTACTGTTCATATATTGCCAGATGGCAACCTGATGGTTACTTCAGGCCTTAGGATGACTATTTGATTGGATTTCCTCCCCCTGCACGGCATTATTGGACAAACCAGTAGAGGTACAGGGGGTGGGAGGGCTAACAGCAGAGAGGCATGGGCCCCTGGCCGCCACTAACCTGGCTGATGGTGCTCATGGCTCTCATGTAGCTCTCATTTCTTGAGCGGAATTTAGGTGAGGCCAGTAGCCCTGCTGGGTCCAAGCTGTCCAGACTCCTGTTGATGGAAACCTCACTCACCGCCCGCAAATAGCTGTGACTTCGGATCTGCAGCTTGGGCGAGTGTTCTGTGGAAATCCTGCCACAAGAGAATGAAAGAGAGAAAGCATGAGGGACAAACCCCCCCGCCCCTCACAGCAGGAAAAACTGTTATAAGGGGGAGGTATGAGGAAAGAAACAGTCAAGATAGAGGCAGACATGGAACAGGTCAAAGAGAGGAAGAGAAAAAGTGACAAAAAGAGAGTGCAAAGTACTTGGCAGTGTGTATGAACCCAAAGATACAGATCGGTCCACAATTGCTTCAGGAGACACCTTTATCTAATCGACAAGCACAGTACTATTGAGAAACACTCACAGTAGCTTAGGTAGTCTGTCCTTGAAACATCTTATAAGCGCTTTCTAAAACACTTAATGGTGAGAACACTCCCATATACGTCAGGAGAATGAAAAGAAGACTATGTGCCTATGAGACCTACAGATCAACACAAAAATACACACATACGTGGATAAACATCCTGTTTCCAAGGAGGATGAATATGTCTCATTAGCTCTGCCTCCAATGCAGTTGCTCAACATGCTTAAGCATGCCTTAAGGTTATGTTGGATGTGAGCTTATTAGTTGGATGTAAGCTAAACAATTCATTAATCATGGGAAACAAAACCTAGAAAGCCGAAAAGCTGTTTTGTCTTGATGAACATTGTGGCCCACTAAATCCACTTAAACAGAACAAAGTGCACATATAGTCTACTCTCAAATCAAACTATGTCTCTCGTTATCACACTTGGGTATAAATAATGTACATATACATACTCTTACTCTCTGCCCCCAGGTCAGATTTGATCTAATTATGTATTTCCTCCTCAAAATAGAACATGGTTTCCAGACCAAAGCAAATGAGATTACTCATTCTTCGATGAAAAATGGAGGCGAGAGGACGGGGAGAGAAACAGTGTAATGGAAAGCCAGATGAGCTACTGAGATGAGAGTAAGGCTGATGATTTTCACTGTAGCCAAACTGTTCTCCAGGCTTTTTAATCTTAAGCAAAATTTACTGAAAGCTTCAAAGGTGTCAAAGGTGACTCAACCTTGCTCATTTTATCAACAGAGGTTTCCCATTAAGGTGCTCAACAGTAGCACTGTTTTTAAAGCCTATTTACACCATTGGGGTTGTTAAGCACCATTCTGTTTTTGAATATCCTCTGTCCTGAAATCATGGTTATAGCTAATTCGAGCTGGGGGGCAAAAAACAGGCAAACCCCACTGTTTGAACCTGCTGCTGACATGAAATCTGCAGCAATTTTAATAAGTGATTAATTGTTTTTATGTATTTTATTAGGCAAAAATGCCTGAACTTTGATTGTTACAGGATCTCAAATGTGAATTTTTTCAGATTTTCTCTGTCTTCTGTGACAGTAAACTGAATTATCTTTCAACAAGTACTCCATATTAAAGAAGACAAGCCATTTTTGGTCCATTTCCCACACAATGACACAAAATGTTTTCTGATCTGACACCACTATCAACAGAACAACAATGCTATTACAAAAATATACTGTTATATGATATCACCTTGTGATGGCAAAGGTTTGGTCAAGTTCAGGCACAATATAAATTTGGCTAAGGTTAGGAAAATGTCAGGAGTTTGGTTACAATCGCCACTTGGTTAAAGTTTAAAAGAATCCAGTATAGTACAGCAGTAATTAATAATAGTATATCACATTTGTGTCTGAGGTTTTGGACTTTTGTGGCTCAATAACAAAGTTATATGACTTCCTCCTATACCCCTGGCAGCCAAGCCATAAAAAGTCATTTTAGTGCGTTTGCTGAAATAGCTGATGCTGTCTTCTTTCTTTGTCTTACATATTTGGGCTTCCAGACTGTTAGATGGACAAAATATATGTGAAATTGCTGAATCACTGTTACAAAACTATCTTTTGTAACAACTCAAAAGAGTTAATATAGCTTCTCAGGTCAGACTCTCCAACCATGAAGACTGTAGGACCCCCGTGTCTTACGATAGACTTTAATAAACTGCTCTTCCTGGAATGTTATTTAGAGAAAAGATAACTGACCTTGTCCTCACTGCAGTAAGGGTATAATACAATAATATTAGAGTGACCAGAGAGTGTTCTTTTGTTTTATCAGGTAAAGTGTTCAATCCAAGACATAAAATCATAATGTATATCCCGGAGATGGGTATGAATCATCTAGAACATTCATCTGGAGACTGGAAGTCAAATCAAAGAATTATCTACCTACATCATTATCTCTACCGACTTCTCCTCCTGATTTCTCTGTGGGGCTGATTATAGGCAGGATCAATGATGTGTGTTGTAGCAGCTTCAATGGTAGCCCCAGCCTGTAATCAGTACCACCTACTGGATGAGGTCAGCATGTCCCTTGGTGCCCCAAGTGACATTAAAGAACATGCCTGTTGGAAATCAAGGCTGTCTAAAGCTTTCTGCTGGTTTCTGCTCTACTACAGTGTCCCTGTACTCCAGTCTCACTTTGTTCTCTTGTTTGCTTCATCTTATCTTTCCCATCAGTTTCCTGTTTTCAGGTTTTTTTCTGTCCATCTTCCCTATGCTCATTTATCTCCCCCTCCTCCTTCCATCTATAACTTCCTTCCGTTAGTTACTGTCTGAATAAACATCCTGTCAGAATAATGACTGTGGCTGGAAGGAGAGATGGATGTAGATGTGATTATAGCTCGCCATTCAGGACCACTGTTCTTGTTGATAAAATTAACACTATAAAATCAAGATAGGACTATATTCATTTATGGCAAAGAGCAAGACGGCTAGTGGATGAAGGAAGCAAAAAGGGCTAGGGGTAGGATTTGTCTGGCAGGACGAATCCCAGTTGCTTAAATACCTGCTTTATCTGTATGTGTTCTAATAAGGAGGAAGGTTGGCATCAGATGAGAGTAAAGAAACCCCAATGTCTCAAGAGAAAAGTTTAACCAGTCAAGGACACAGTGGTCACAGAATGGAACAACAAGGCTGATTATTTAATCATTGTGGAGTGTAACACAGACTTGTGCCAGCTTCCAAAAGCACAGTGTGAAAACAAGATGTCAGCTGCTCTCTCCACACGCTGTATCTTCAGTGTGCAGCACTGTAGTTTGGGTTCCACTGGGTTCCATCAGATGATGATGGCTTTCCCCAGGCCAAATTCAAGCCATTAGTGGGCCCCCAGCTGCAACACTTGCACTCACATAAGAGCGTTTGTGCAACCAGTAACAATGACTGAGCGCCCACTGGTGTTTTTCTTATCTCTCTATATTACACAGCTAATCAGTCACAGCCCAACATAGGAAAGATTTCTGCAATTCTTTCACTGTTTCAAGAATAAAAATGTTTTAGTACAACCATTCAGCACTAGCGCACACTTACTTGAGTGTCGTCATCTCTGTGAGGGACGGCTGCGTTGCCTTCAAGTAGCTGGCCCGCCGTGCCTGAGCCTTAGGCGAGGGCTTAGGGCTGCAGTCTGAGTCGCCGCTGTCTTCTTCTGCCATGGCCTTGATATAGCTTCCACTGCGCATTCGCCTGCATGGGATCTCGTCATCCTTCCCCAGTGGAGAGAAACCACTCCAGTCATCCTGAGGCACCTGTAGAGATGAGAGCAGGTAAGGTAAAGAGGGCCTGGGAAGAGGTCACCCTCTGGACCTCAGAGCTCATACAGATGCACTTATTTATGAATAAACATAGATACAGAAAGGCAACAACATTTCATGCCATGGCCTGTAATAAATACCTGTTACACACAGAGCACCTCATGCCTTAAAAAAGTGATAGTAACAGTACTGATGCAGGGTCTGCCTTGATCATACCATAAACCTGTGAGCGTCTGAAGCCTTCTTTTTTCTGTTTGTTGGACTAATGGAGCATATCAAATGCAAGGAATAAATAGTTTTGACAAAGCACTGCAGTACCCTGGCCTACATCTGCTCTTCTGACTTCTCAGACATACTAATAAAAGAGAAAATAAAAGGAGGCAAAGCTATCTCCCAGCCTTAATCTAAAAGAGAGACAGTCAAAGACAACAGACACGGAGGGAGCAGGAAAACAAAGGGGAGTTTGTTCAGCAGAACCACTGTCGCCCTGAATGGCTGTTATGACACCGGCACTCAAGTAAAAGAAGCAGAGCAAGAAAAAAAAAAAATCGACTGGTGCGTAACTAGGAAACCAAGCTGACCGTGATGTTAGGGGCAACCACAGACTACATTAATGTTTACTTCAACAGAACTGAAATAGTGTTACTGAGAAAAAGCCATAAAAAGTACTGTAAGTCATACTTTTTAATCCTTTTATCCTTGCAATAAAGTACAGCAAATACATGATGTTCTAATCTGAAAATGTTGCATAAGTGTATAAAAAGGTTAGGGATTAAATTAAGTCCGTGTGTGTGAACATCAAACACTAGATTACAGGATCCCAGCCTAGCAGGCAAAGCAAATAGCGTGTCAAGTCCTTGTTTTAAGGATTCAAAAAATGTCTGCTGACGAACTTGTCAGGGTGCTCTCTTTGAAAGCCCATTTTCCCCTTCCATCTCTCTTTCTCCTTCTGTAAAAAAAAAAAAAGCAATGGTTCTTTGAGGTTGGGAGAAACATTTCTGTACTGTAGTGACAGCATTCTTCCTTGATCTGCTTGCTCCATTTTTCAGGCTGTTAAAATGCAGGGCCACACAGAAGTTTCTCTCCGTCTTTTACCAGTATGCTCCATCACTCTTGCTTTCAGCCTTTTACTTTCTCCATTCATGCACTGCTCTTTTACCCTTATTTGCTCAGTTTGGGGCTTTTTCCTACAGTACACACACAAACCTCTCCTCTATTCTCACTGCTAGCATGTGTGTCCCTGTGTGTTTTTTTAAACCTTTCTTTGTCTGCTCACCTCTGGTTCTCTCTGATCTCCTAGTAGCACCCTACTCTCACTCCATGAATAAGACACACACATAGTCACAACCATCTGAAAATTCACCATTTTCGCTCTAAAAACTGATTAGATTGATGTCTCTGATCTGCCTTCTTGTACTTGTATATTATAAAAACTAAATGCTGGTTCAGGATGATGCTACATTAACCTAACCTGAACAATGAATATATGACCAGTTTACTACATTATTTCTCTAGTAGAGCAAATGTGAAAGATAAATACACTATCCTGTGAACTTTACATGCAGCACAGTACAGAGGCAATGACATAAATTACAAACGCTCATATAAAAGTATTTCCATGAACGTAGGCACAAACCAGTGATGATTTTGCTAAATGTTTTATGATGATACAAAAAAGAAAGTCAACATATCACCAATAAAGACAAAAGGAATGACAGGATGGGGTCTAGGCCACTGGTCCCCTGACCTGTCTCTCTAACTTGCAGAAACATGCACACAAACACAGATACAGGCAGAAAAGCAGAAGCATGGAGGTGCAGCCGGCACTGGATGATGCATGAAGCATGACATGCGAGAGATGGGCTTGTTGTAACAGTCCTACCTGTAAGAAGTGGCAGGTGCGTCCCTGCTCAGCTTTCACTAGAGCTTTATCTAGGTTGACTGAGGCCTTCTGGTAGACCTCTCTTGCTCTGCTCACTGTCAGAGTAGAAGACCACGAGCTCTTCTTAAGCTGCACTTGGCTGTCCAACGTGTCCACCAATGGCAGTCCTCCACTGCTGGCCCCAGAGCACGTTGAGCACTTCACATCATTGTTGCTGCGTGATGTCTTGAGAGAGTGGGCACTGATAGTGTTATAGGACTCCACGAAGTACTGCGACTGGGATTTGTCAGGGCGGCGCCCCATAGTCATGACCCCAGAGGGCAGGCCTCCAGTGCCACCCCCATGATGATGGTGGTACAGGCATACCTCTCGGTCGAGTGTGTCATCTGAGCTCCAGTATCCTGAGATGGCTGTGTGCATCTTAGGCTCGGACTTGGAGCGGTCTTTGCTCTTACTGCGCTTGCTGTGCTTCAGAGTACCAGAGGATGATGGAGGGTCATCAGGACTGGATTTGCTTCCATTCATCCTCCCACTCCCTCCTCCGCCAGACCCTGAGGGCCCCTCCAGAGAGTGGGACTTGGTGAAAAGTTTCTGGACAGAGTGAACAAGGTGGCGGATTCGACCAGGGCTGTCACTGCGTTGATGCTCTAACGCAGTGTGCTTGTACTGCAGTGTGTGGTACCCTTCACGCCGCACTGGTGCCTGGTGCTCAAATTGCTCTAGCAGGTTAGAAGGGATGTGGTTGTTTCCTCCACCTCCTCCACTTCCCTTACAACTCACTGTTGGCCCTACATAAGGCACCACAGCACCACATTCCTCCTTTAGCTCATGGTGGGAGTTGTAATGTCTGCGGGGAAAGGTACAGCTGGCAAGATCAGGATAAGCACCACACTCAGACTGGAAGGTGTTGCATTGGGTGTAGCAGGCGTGGTCTGCAGGATGAGTCTCCCCAGGGTTGAGGAAGTAGGAGCGACGATCTGAGCGCCCCATCGTCATGGAGTCACTGTGGTGGTGGTGACTGCGGTTGCTGGAAAGGCTTTTCATTGTCATCGTAGTCAGGCTGACGTGCGCATCCAAATGCTGCCACAGGAAGTCACAGGCCCCAAAACTGGCTCTACAACAAAACACACAGCCATGAAGAAGAAGAGACAAACAAACAAAAGAAACACAGAAATGGGAATTATAAATATCTCATATTTGCATACACTCAAAGCACAGTGCAATGTCTTCATCTCCTTTAATTTGAAAATGCTTTTTGACACTCCTTCACAAAAGAGAAAACTTGCTTATATCGATGGTACTTGGATCAATTCCTCTCTTTCAACCTTTAATTTTTGTCCTCCAAAACTTCTAAAAGGACCATCTCTAAATATAGCAGCTGCTTGGCACATGGTTCCTGACATCCAGATCTGTCCTCACGCTTCCTCTTCCACTTCCTTTCTATTTGCTCCAGTACATTTCAGTGAAAAAGTGACAGGGTGATTGAGGAAACAAAGGGAAACCAAAGAAGACGAGGTATCAAGTAGAGTTCAAATTCCTTTACAGCTCAAGTGTGTGCTATATTTGTCCAAGGGTACTGTTAGAAATAAGGTGTCAGTGTAACAAAACAAAAAATATTCTGGAAAATTGTTAATGAGAGTGCAGAGACACTGGCTCCCTTAGTAGAAAGCCTTAGTCATTCAGATAATTTCAGTCTCCTTAATTCAATCCAGTGTTTTCACAGAACAGTGGCTGACAAACACAACAAATGATCCCAGCCTGATCCTACACTTTCTTTGTATACCTGTATGTTGTCCTCTAAGGGTAAACTAATTGGCCAGTGAAGCCCAGTCGACAGCTTCTGGGCCAGTGGAGGCAACCAGCGATAAACGACCTTTCACTAACTCAGTGACATGAAAACAATGGCATCCATCAGTGCCCTTAAAATGCCTTCCATACCCATCTGAGGCTGTGGCTGAACCCATACTGTTTCCAATGGACTGGAGGTGAAGTTAATGAGACCATAAAAAGAGGCCCCAGACCCTGCTGTGACAACAGTGTGGTCAAGCCTGCACGGGGAATTCATTACTGCGATTTACAATGCGCTGCAACAGGCCGCTGGGGGTGGGGGGTTGGGGTGTTGGTGGTGGTAGTGGATGATGAGGGGGACTAACAGGCAAAATGAAGGAGACAGAGCAGCTCGATGAAATATCATGTCAGGTCTTTACATAACCAGAGGACGCTGTGTAGGGCGCCATGCAGGATGCGGGCATGAGGTTGAATACAGAATGATTCTGGGATGTTGCGGTAAACAAACTGCTAGATTAACTGCAAAGTCTGAGGAAATTATTATTATTATTATTATTGTTAGAGGGAAAATAAAAAGTATCCCCATCCTCCTGTAATATACTTACAAGAGTGACCTCACACAAACCATACACTACTGTACATACAGTACACACCCAATGTCCACTTCATCTAGGGCACTCAAGTGGGCTATGTCCAGCAAAAGGTTTTCATTGTATTTGACAGTGATCCCTTCTGTTGGCTGCTGAAGCACAGAATGTGACCTAAATAAAAGGCCCTCGCAGGCTCCGTAGCGGCGTTTGTGGCCCATCTGTCTTGAGTACTGCACTAAAGCTGGAAAGTTGAAGTGAGGTCATTCTGGCTTACTGCCTATTAGCCACACTCTCTCTAACACACACACACACACACACACACACACACTGAGGATTTTACATTAATGTACAGCCATCAGCCATAACATTATGACCACCTGCCTAAAACGGTGAACACAGGAGTCAATGCAGCAGTTGGTTCTCACCCGCATCACACTGCAGCTCACTGTGCATCTTCTGTGAATACATTTGCTTCCATAGTTCTGCTGTCAGGAAGAGCGCACGTGTCGAACATTCAGTGAAAAACTTATGTAAAAGGAGGTAAACCTGTGGTCATGAAAACAAGTTAAGTACAAATTTTTTAGACACATTCAACAGCCTCCCCACTCTAGGTTGGTTTAATACAGGGGTGGCCAATTCCAGTCCTCGAGGGCCACTGTTCTGCTTGTTTTCCAACTATCCCTGCCTGACCTGCTGCCGATTACCTGGCTCAGGTGTGTTCAGTCAGTCAGAAGATGGAAGATACCATCTTAGATGAAAGTGGAGTGAGGAAAGATAAAGTGAATTGGCCACCCCTGGTTTAATGGGTTGTCTGTGAACTACAAGAACAGTTTAAACAGCACTGTGAAAGAGTGCTTCAGAAAGCAGAAAGAATTATCAATCGACATGATCATGTGCTCTTCAGTGAATTTGCTTTAATGCCCTCAGGTCAGCGCTACCAAGCACCCCTGGGGAGAACAGATCACGACTCCAACTGTTTTATTTCCTCTGCTATCAGGCTATTAAATGTGATGGAAGCAAGAAGGTTTGTGGTTTTGTTTTGTTTGTGTTTGTTTTGGGGTTACTAATGCATTGTGCATTAACTGAGATATGACTGTGGTGTTGTTTTACTTTATTATTATCATTTTATTTAATTCACTTAAGAGTCTGAACTGGAAATGCTGTTAAACTGAATTGTCCACTGGGATAAATAAAGTTGACTGAAACCTGAAACCTAGGTGTGATATCACCACTATAGCAGCTGAATGCTTCTCTTCATAGAGACCAATGTACAGTATTTCTCATTTTTAACCATTTTAACACAGATTCAAACTAAATGGAATCATTTGAGACTGGTGACCTGTCCAGGGTGGACCCCGCCTCTCGCACAATGTCAGCTGGGATTGGCTCCAGCACCCCTGTGATCCTCTTCAGGATAAGTGGTATAGATAATGGATGGATGAAATTGTTTTGACAAGGATGAATTAAATTTAAAAGTTGAATCTACAGTAGGTCGACCTCATCATCGGTGAGCCTTGGCATCCATGACCCTGTCACCTGTTCACTGTGGGTAGGTACTAACCACTGCAGACTGTGAACACCCAACAAGACCTGCGGTCTGGGAGATGCTCTGACACAGTCGGTAGCCATCATGGTCTGGCCTTCGTCAAAGTTACTCACATCTTCATGCTTGTCCATTTTTCCTGCTTCCAACACATCAACTTCGAGGACTGAATGTTCACTTGCTGTCTAATATACCCCACACACTGACAGGTGCCAGTGTAATGAGATAAACAATGTTATTCATTTCTCCTGTCAGTGGTCACAATGTGATGGCTGATCAGTGTGTATTATCATAACTACTACATGCCTATCATCTAATCTTAACACTACACTTAAAATAATCCTTTCCTTAAACCAGGTCATCCCCCTAAAATTCAATGATTGACACGTGTGGGGACCAGCATCTTGTCACCCCGACAGGATGTGGCTAGCTTGTAAAGTGCAGTTTATTGACAAGAAGAAGATTTGCTGGTTCTGCCATGTCTGTCAGTTGTGGCCGACAGTGAGGAAGGCTCATAGACAGCTGTGGTTATATATTACACCACATGTCCATTGTAGCTGACCCAGTTCTGTCTCTACCTGTCTGGCAAAGCCCACTTCAGTACAGCAACAACTGGACAGGCCATGCAACACACCACGATAAAATAATTCCTGTTGAAAGACTGACATTATAATTTTTGGTTGGTCTTTCCAGGCATGTTGCTAATTTGCTTTTTGCTAAGCCACATCCCGTCATTAACCACGTTAAATAACGCTCATAACTCTTAACAGTGTTTGAAGCAGTTGTAGACAAAAACAGTCTTCTTAGTTTGATCTGGTGATTCATGATGTTACTGGCTGAAAGTACAAAAGCGCCAAGAACTTTAAAAACACCGTTTCTGCAACACAAAACCAATATGCAAACAAGAAAACCCAACAACCTTGATCCTTCTACTTTGTGTTACAGGCTCTGAAAACCGCTGAAGCTCAACTGCATTTAGAGTGTGTGCTGAACAACAAGGTGTGCAAACAACACACAGAGATAGATAAAACAAGTCAGGCTATGCATGTTAATGCCCATTAACAGGCTCTGTCAGCACAGCAGGATAAATTCGGTTTAAATGCCATGTTTCTTTCAGGCTCAGAGGAGATAAATGGAAAACAGATTTTTCCTTCTTCATCATGTACTGTGTTGGACACTGCCTCACAGTGGTCAAACCCTTAGTTTTCTTTATGTCCCCTTTAGTTTTAAGATTTATCAAAGCAAATAAACCACAGTGAAATGAAAATGCAAAGTAACCTTGACTTACTAGGTGCTATCTTTGTATAAAGTGGTGAAATAAATATGCATTAGTATGAGAAGACCACTGCAGTTTCTCTTGCTGGCAAAATAAATGGCTGCTGCAGGGCCTGGGGTCAGTCCACATGGAAGGTCAGTTACAAGGCAGAGCTCAGGCTTCACAGAGCTTCTCTGAGGCCTTTAAAGCCACAAGGAAGGTCTCCTCTTCCCTTGTAAACCTGACAATGATTTCTTCAGTGGTTTAAAACATTACCCATGTCTTTCAGGAACAATGTTCCAGTTACTCTGAACAATCCATATACAGTATTTTGCTGAGGTCAATTTTTAAAGTGGAATTAATTAAACAAAACTATACTTAGGTTGACTCTAATGCAGGGATGGCAGGAATTTGGGTGAACTGACCCTTTAAAATCAAGAGCAACAAGACAGTTTTGCTGTTTTCTTTTACAATAAAAAAATATAAGTATTATGCTTTAATGAGAATAAGAAGTCAAAGTTGTAAATGCTGTAAAAAAAGTCACTTTTGGCTTTTCCCGTTTAGGGGTCGCCACAGCGAATCATTGCACATTGACATTTGGTTTTACGCCGGACGTCCTTCCCGACTCAACCCTGATTCGAACCGGCGAGAGCGCTGCGCCTTAACCACTAGCCAACCAGGGATATTCAGATCTTCTGTAAAGCCACTTTAATAGATACAATCACAATAACTCAATAAACTCACTCATAAAAATTATAAAATAAAATTTTGAAGCTTTAATATCTCAAAATGAAACGCACACACACACACACAGGATAACTACAGCTGCCAGAGAAGCAGTGACAGAGAGGATGCTATCATTATGAAGATGTGCACAGTGCCTTTAAAGAAATCCCTCATTGAATGTTTTAAGGAAAGCCACAGGCCAAAAAGCCATT